CGGTGCACCATGGTCTCTGGGAGACTGCTAGAGACACCCGGCATTGTTTGGCAGCTCGGTCAGTCTTTAGTGTCATTCCCGCTGTATCGCTTCCCTATCCTGCTAACCCGGCTGCAATTTCCCGGCGCTCAGGCTGTCTGTCGTTCATCTGGTCCACGAGGCGAGAGGCTTGGACGTCAACCCAACCACCATAAGTCGTTTTGTCAAGGCAGGGGATGAAGAGAGCGTGAAATCGCTGACAATCATACACGAGGACGAAGTGACGCACGTTAGCGTGAGGATCTAGTCCTGCGCGTCACGCAGACTGCGTTCGAAGACTCGTCAGCTGATGCTCCATTCCTCTGCATTTCCACAGACTGGACATCGATGGCTGGTGCATTTGTGTCAAGCTCACAACCCTCCTCAAGACCCAGTGCAAGTCTTTCGCCAAAAGGTCCGCGAGAATTTCTCGGGAACTTTGAGGGAACCGTTCAACGAGCTGGATAGAGCTAGAGCGGGCTTGGATAAACAGTGGTACGATGGACTTAGGGGTCAGAAGAGGACCGTGCTTGATGGAGACAGTCGAAGTGGAGTGCAAGATGCCAGGGTCGCGCAGATCGCTGGAGGCTGAGCTTGTCAGGGCCTCACGGAGCACTGCCGTCGAAAATTCATGCAATTAAAGGTGCGCGATCAAGGCGAGCACAAGGAGTGTGCAGGTCGTGTTGTCAAGAGAGGTCAGCGATCAGACCTGGGAGTGGTCGGGTGCGCGTTCATCGTGTCACTATTAAGCACCCTGCTCAGCATCCCTCGGAGCTGGGGCCGCGGGTGTATCGCCAGCCCCTACTCGAGGTTCAGCTACAGCCGGCTCGTCCGTTGTGGTAGTCTTTGCACCCCCACCAGCTGCAGGTGCCGGTGCGGATGCATCAGCGGCAGCCGAAGATCCAGTAGCGTGCTGCGAGTCGATTGGAGCAGCTGAAGCAGCGCCTTGAGTGTCCGCACCTGTGGGTTCAGCCACAGCAGGAACAGGTTTCTGAGCCTCCTCTTTATCAGCCGCCTTTTTCGAAGACTTCCAGTTGATAAAGCAAGGGACGTCAGGGGCCGTCTTGCTGGGCATGGCCATCTCTTGAAACATGAGCGGGATGCGTCCAGAAGCATCAGACTGCAAAAACATTCTCCAGTCCGTTGCGCCAGCTCGCGTCTCGGAGATGGCTTCGACGGATGCGTAGTATGCTCGGACGTATCCTTCGCTGCTACGATGAGGGCACTTGTCGTGAGAAACGGGCTGTTGGATGACGATGAAGCTGCGCAGGCTCTGTGGCTCGGAAGCTGGCAGCGATTCACCACGCAGTTGCTGCAGCACCAGCGCTTCGTGCGCTTCAGAGTAAGGTGTGGGGTGCAAAGGCAGCTCGAGAGTGATGAGCAGCTCCAAAAAGTCTCTGTTGGACGTCAAGCTGGGCAGATTGTCTTTTTTGGGAAGCAATCCGAGCACGGCAATCGACCGCTCGTCAGCCATGCCAAGAACGGGCGGACATCCTGCATACAAACCACTTACATCCTGCATACAAACCACTCACAAGTATTGTTCCACACCTCTGCCACACCCTTCTTGAGCTCATCAATCTGATTGGCAGCCGTCATTTCGGAAATGTACTCGGTTTCTTGCTGCGGGTGATCGATGAGTAGACCAGCCTTGAAATCGTCCCATGTCAAGCCCTTTGCCTCAGAGGGAGGGTGCACCTGCGATCGTCCAGGGGCGGTCATCGAAGGTCAGACATGTGAGCACTACAGTGTCTCCTACCACACCCGCACGAGCTCCGCACATCCCTCACTTTGTTCGAGTCCCAACACTCACGCTGTGTCTGCCGTGCCAGCCGCACTTTGCCAGTCGGCCTTTGTGCACGCTGTTACCCTTGAAGCTCTGAACAGGAGCCACCTCTGTCTTGATGACTTTGCCCTTTGCCCAACCATGGCTCGCGCGAATCATCGCAAAGGCCTGCTTGACGTAAGCGCTGATCGCATCTTGAGAGATGCTTCCCGTCCCGTCGGTCAGTGTGGAGATGGGAACGGGAGCAGCCTCGAAGGGATAAGTGGCGTCTGAAGATGGGGTCGTCATCTTTGTTCGTCCGAAAGGAAGACAGATCTCGAGTTATAGAATGAAAGGGACGCCGCTCGGAAGGCTGATCCTGATGATGGCGATGGTGGTCAAGAGGTTAGACCTGCAAAGAGAAGAGCCGCTCAGGAAGGGTGTTGTTGATTTGAAATTGAGAAGATGGTGCACCCTTTTGGGATGCAAACGCGAAGCACCCCTAATGTATGCACGACGAACCCCCCGCGCCGCCTTGCCTATCAATGCGCGGCCACACCGCGCTCGCATGAATTTAAAGGCTTTCGGCGTGAGCCTCGTCCAGCAGGAGCAGCAGCAATCAAGGAGACGCTTCCTATGACACTCGTGACCATTGCTAGCATTTGCTGCTCGCCCACAGCTCTGAGAGCATAGAGCATAGGATGTGGACCCAAATCGAGTGCAGCAGGCATGGTAGTCGCAGCCGAGTGATCGAGTGAGCTACCTGGAGTCTCTCCTCTCGATCAGCTGCACGTCCCTGCAAAACCAAGTGGAGGCAATCCCTGATGTGGCTGGGGCTCAAATGGCGTGGTTTCTTGCACCCTTCGCCGAGAGGATGGGTGGATCAATCACAGTCACCTGTCACGTGCCAGATGCAATTCACGTTTCAGAAGAGGCGAATGGGAACGAGGACGAAGGCGAACGAGAACGAGGACGAGGACGACCGTCGGAATGCTCTGGAATGACTCTGGCTGGCGACTGGCCGATCAGAAGCGAGTAGTCACAGTGCACTCTAGCCACGGTTAGCAAAACGCAACGTTGTTTGCTCATCGCTCAACGCAATGCCAAGATGCTCGCATGACTCGTCCAAGTCCAACA